TTAGCCAGAAAAAGAAAAAGATGTAGGGATGGGGTTATGAATGACTTGCTGTGTTGGTAGAGGTATCTTCTTGTTCCTTCCTTTTTCATGATGTGACATCCCTACATCTCACAGAAAAGATTTTTTCACTTGTTCCACTAATTTTTTTACATTTTATGGCTTAACGGTTTGCACGAAACCATGTACAAAGGATTAACGCCTAAACCCTCCATATAAATTATTGCTGCTTATGGAGACAATGGACACATTATGAGTCCATGGCTATAGGTGTCTCCTTAAATAAGCAGAAATTGATGTATAACATATTAGCGCCTAGTATTATAGCCATATATAAATTCTTATGCACTTATGGAGGCTCTGTGCATATATATATATGGCGCCCAAAGGGTTAAGTGTTAAGTAGGCTTTAATGGATGGTTATGTGTTTAATGGAATGAGGTATTGATGCTTTTTATGTGAAAGTTGCTGAAGCAGAGGGATGTGTGATTCGTCCCTGTTTATTAGAAGTCGAGTGTTTCTATTGTGAATGGTATTGTTATTTGTTATTGTTACACGCTGCAGGTGAAGAGATTGGGTTGTTGCCAAGTGTGCATGACATTCATATGCTAGAGAAGTGGTAACTGAAGTGGGTGGAGAGGACTTTAATGTTCATCTGACTTCATATCATTATCCCTTGTCCTACGTTGTGGTCTCAGAGACATGTAAATCAGTAGTCTTCCTTTTAATACGCTCAAGAAAATGATGATTGCATTCTATTTCAGAGGTAATAGTGTAGTAAAGAGTGGAAATTAACAAAGGGGAAAATAAGTATTGTCAGCAGGGAAATAGTGTGAGAGAAGGATGGTGTATGGGGGGAAGGGAGATCTTGATCCACCCAGGCTCGGCGGCATCTAAACTCCCAGGCCGTTGCGCGAGACAGTTCTTAAAATCTCCGTAAAATTCAAGTGCTGCGTTCACGACCGCGCGTATCGATCGCGAGCTCATGACGGTACGTACGCGGTTCGCAGTCGCGGCACGCATCACGTGATAAAAATCGTCCAGATCATGCAGAGCTAGCTGAATAAAAATTAATACAGCTGGACGGATTTTATCACGTGATGCGTAGGCCTCCGAAAATACTCCCATGCGCAATTTTAGCGTACGGAGCATGCGCGTGTGGAGGAGGGAGAAGTGATTGGGTTTCGAGGCTACTTAACTTACTCTCTCTCTCTAGCTCTCTCTCAAGAGAGGGCGGGGTTTGGTATGAGCGCGCGCGCGCATGCCGCCTGCATTATAATATTATGCGCGCGCGTTTGCAGGACGACACGCACGGCGCACGTGAAGACGTAGCTATTATATATACGTTGAGTTCTTTCTCAGATTGTGAACATTTTTTAGTGACGAAGGTGATCAAAAAGTGGACCAATACGGGCAGAGGGGTGACCAAGTGAAGAAATGGTATGGTGGGTGGTGTTATAGCTGATAATATGCTGGAGTGGTATAAATGATAGGAGGCAGTTTTCAGTGTGGCTTTTTGCCATCATGAGTCAGTTAGCTAGTTGCCCATGCCATAGGATTGGCCATCATCAGACTGGTGATGTGGCTGGGGCTGGAGTGCTGGTGGCTGGGGTGCTGGGGGCTGCAGTGGTGGGGACTGCCCAGACTGCGTCAGGCCAAAGATATTTACTGTGCACCTGGTGAGCTGCAAAGGGGAAAGTGGGGAAATGAAATTATCATGTGGGTGATGACTAATCAAGTGAAGTGTTAGCTAACTAAAGTGTATTTGACTTCACATGGGCCCTGAGAATTTGACATAACAGAGTTATTTATCATGTAATTTGAGAAAGTCTTGCAGAAATGGAATCCTCCGGCTCACCTGAGTCTAACCATATTATGCTATACTAAGCCTGAATACCTAGCAGTCAAAAGTTTGCTGTATATCACCTGAGAAAAGTATGCTGCAAGTAAAGGTATCCCATAAATATGCTGTTACTGTATAAACTGTCACTTTCTGTCTAGGTGAGGCTGCACACCAGTGGGGAGGTGGGGGTGGAAGGAAGGAAACAAGCAAGCACTTTAGCCCTTGTGAAGGGCTTCTGGGTTGAGTGAAGTTTACTTGCAATTGTGTTTCTCTCCAAATTTAATTATGTGGAACCCACACAAATGTTTTGAAGGACTAGACTCTTTGTGCTTTTGAGGTGGGATCTAGGAACAACCTTTGGTATATTATAGAGAGTGGGAAAGATTTGATGGAGGAATAAATTTGGTGAGCCTAGGTAGCTTTGGCGAAAGAGACAAGAGCTTGATTTGATGCACTACAATTTCTCAGTATTAATGAAAAATTTGGCTGGGTCACTTAAAGCTGAAAACTTCCCTATAAAAGGTTTCTTTCTTCTCAAATTTATGCAGGAAATAGAGCTGAGAACTTACGTGAAGGATTGGTTGGTCTGAGGAGGAACGAATGACAGAAGAGCTGTGTTGTTGTGGTCCTCCTGCTCTGCGGCGGCCTTGCCCTCACATTCAGCCTTGCCCTCGCCCTCGCCCTCGGCTTAGTTCAAAACCACAAGTGCTGCGCTCAACTCTGCCTTTATAAACTCGTGATGCCAGAGAGAGAAGTTGCGGTATGCTTTGCTGATGAGGGCTAACAAGCCCGAAACAGCTGTCCAGAGCTCAGCATCTTTTTTCTCTTGGCATCACATGGTCTATTGTTACATGTGTATGCGCTGGCAGGATATGGGTGCTTGCTGGCTTCATTGCCGCGGCCCAATCCACTATGTCAGCATGCTGAATTCGGGTTTTGGCTCGTACTGGCAACGCCTTGTGGGGATGAATCTCATTAGTTCAGAACCACAAGTGCTGCGCCTGAGCAAAGCCTTGTGGGGATGAATCACATTAGTTCAAAACCACAAGTGCTGCGCTCAACTCTGCCTTTATAAACTCGTGATGCCAGAGAGAGAAGTTGCGGTATGCTTTGCTGATGAGGGCTAACAAGCCCGAAACAGCTGTCCAGAGCTCCGCATCTTTTTTCTCTTGGCATCACATGGTCTATTGTTACATGGCATTTTTGGCGAGCGGAAGGGAGCTTACAACGTATGAGTCACTGTTGTGTGTGCACAAAACAGTGAGATACATTGCACAGGACCAAGTAGGCCGAAATAACCTTTTAGACCCGAGCACAGTAGACAATTCGAGTCCAGTCAAAAACAGTCAGACGACAGCGCGAATCAAGCATAATCCAAAAATCTCTCGCTGGACTGTGCAGCAATTCTCGATAGCTTCGGAGGTGTTCGAGCCTGCCGTATTGCGTTTCCCCTGATTCTGCTTGATTCAGGCAGCATATGAAAAGTTTGAAATCTCTTTCGGATAAAAAGAAGCGCGTAATGCTGGAGCATGCGCAGTTGGACGACGTACTATAATAGAAAAATCGCGCCGTTCGGACCACTAGGTTAGCTCGCTTCCGCTCGCCAATTATGTCATCGTCGAAAAGTCGAGGCACGTGACACAAACGTCGACTCATGCGCATACGCATGCACAATCGCGAAAGAGGCGTGGTACTAAATTTCCCGGGGCAAAAATGGCGGGCTGCAACGACAGGAAGCTTGTGACCAGTGACCAGTGACCTCATGACCCTTCCTGAAATACTGAATATCCATGAAAGCGCTGTAGCGCAGAAAAAGGGGCGTAACGGAGGCAGTAACTGTGCGTCCGCGTTCGCACGTACGCCAGTTATTTGGAAAAACGAAGGTGCAGCCAGCTTTGCGCAAACGTAAGCTACCGATTGAGGTAATTTTTGCGCTGATCCGTGACTAACGCCCACGCACAATCGTTGGGAATATGTAGCTGATGAGTGCAGCAGAGAACCGGAAACTGGACTAGTCTGCAAGGATGAAGGTTTGTGATTTGGGTTGCAATCCTCTTCCATTTGATGTGTTAGTGCATTTTTTCCGACACAGGAGAAGATGAGGACCTCCACAAGTTTTTCCCTGCTACACAGGAGAAAGCCCAGCGGCAATGAGATTATCGTCACATAAGAAGGGTAAGGACAACAAAGTGACATATGAGTAGGAATGTATGGCATTGAATAAATATATATCGAGTGCATGCCGCAGGGTCACACGTTGTGAGTGACGATTACTTGAAAGCGTCCTCGTCTGGGTACCAGTCGCCCACCAGTACAGGCAAGGATTTGACTCACACAGTGTGCGGTATAAATAGTACAGCATGCGTGCCCATTCGAGTGAGTGTAGGGATACCCTGGGGAAAGTAAGATCTATAACACAACAAGTGTACTGCCTGTAATTTCCGTATGGGGAAACAACGTGTATCCTCGGATTATGCTGGCTCAGAGAAGTAAGGAACTCTTTGTTGCTCTTTGTAATTTCAGGAGAGTTGATGACAGTCCAGCACTTGGACGAAGAGGACAGAGAAGGTTAGCTAATAGCAACATAAGAAGCATGCACTTGACTTGTGTCCTGCGTATTGGTATTGGGCAATTGGAGTTTGTGTCCTGTTGACTAGCTCCGTATCCACATCAGTTTCAGCGCCGTCCAAGCACATCCAAGGAGCTGTGTCTGGCAGCAGCCGCCTGACTCTTCCAGGGCAGTCTAGCAGCGGCCACCTAACTGTTCCACGGCAGACCACTTCCTACCTTGCAAGTTTTGTAATTCCAGGAGAGTTGATGACAGTCCAGCACTTGGACGAAGAGGACAGAGAAGGTTAGCTAATAGCAACATAAGAAGCATGCACTTGACTTGTGTCCTGCGTTTTAATATTGGGCAAATGCAGTTTGTGTCCTGTTGACTAGCTATCAGTTTCAGAGCCGTCCAAGCACATCCAAGGAAATGTGTCTGGCAGAGGCCGCCTGACTCTTCCAGTGCAGTCTAGCAGCGGCCACCTAACTCTGCCACGGCATACCACTTCTTACCCTCGGGAAAGTAAGATCTATAACACAACAAGTGTAGACTGATGTACTGCCTGTAATTTCTGTATAGGGAAACAACGTGTATCCTCGGAGTATGCTAGCCCAGTGAGAAGTAAGAAACCATAGTTGCTCTTAGAGGTGACTTACAAGTTTTGTAATTCTAGGAGAGTTGATGACAGTCCAGCACTTGGACGAAGCTAACAGAGAAGGTTAGCTAATAGCAACATAAGAAGCATGCACTTGACTTGTGTCCTGACTTGTGTCCTACATCTTGGTATTGATCAAATGGAATTTGTGTCCTGTTGACTAGCTCCGTATCCAAATCAGTTTCAGCGCCGTCCAAGCACATCCAAGGAGCTGTGTCTGGCAGCAGCCCCCTGACTCTTCCAGTGCAGTCTAGCAGCGGCCGCCTGACTCTTCCATGGGCAGACCACTTCCTACCCTGGGGAAAGTATGATCTATAACACAACAAGTGTAGACTGATGTACTGTCCTGTAATTTCCGTATAGGGAAACAACGTGTATCCTCGGATGGTGCTGGCCCAGAGAGAAGTAAGGAACCTTTGTTGATGTTAATGCTGCCTTGCAAGTGCACCAATTTTAGGAAAGTGGAATAGAGTCAAGTTGTTGGATTTTGATGAGGAGGATGGAGATGCTGATGGGGAGTATTTTGTGGTACCTGCAGTTGCTATGTATCCATGGTGTGTGCTAGCCCAGGTTTGTGTGAATACGCGTTAGCCGCGAATTTTGTACAAGAATTGGTGAGTTTTCGCCTTTCCGCACACAAACCTGCCAGGTGTGTGAATAGGCGAAGTAGCGTTTTCATGCGTAGACTACGCGTGATATTGCGTAGTGCAATTAGCACTCTTAGGTGCTTGGAATTCAAGAAGCCGCACAACACAAAGGGGAGAGCTGAATGTATTTACAAGCAGCCTGCATAGCAAGCACAAACGTGCATACGCCACAACTTATTACTGCTTGCAAACGCCAGTAAAAGCATGCGCGCACGGCACGCAGTTAGCTTGTTTTTAATGTACAAACCACGTGCACTAGCCGGTCAAACACTCTACACATGCTGCTCGGTTAGCCTACAATCTGCTGGGTTGAACATGCGCAGCAAAGTTGGGCAGTCACGTACACGTAGGACAGGGCTTTGACCTACGGGGTGTTTGTGTCACGATCATACCAAACTTCTCTCATTTGCGTAAAATCCCGTGAAGCCGCTAACAACCGCAGTGTTTCTTACTTCGCCGTTTCACGCGGCGTGGATTTCTGTGAAATGGAGTGGTCCTGGCATGAGACTGCGTTTTCACGCGTAATCGCGTGCGTAATTTACGTGCAAACACACACTGATTTTGCGCAATCACGCGAACCCGGGAGGTTAATACAATTACTTGTGCCGTAGATTTATTGACCACATCGGGGTTCAGCTCGGGGAACAACATCATCGAGTGTTGATGCCATTGACTGTAAGAAGAAGTTTTTGGCTTTTTTCGTGAATACAGTATATGTGTATGCTTCTAAAGACACGTAGTAAACTGTCGGTGTGCAATCGAATTGCTACTGTAGGGGAAGAAATTGCTTACTGAATGTTTTATGCTCGCTGGAACAAAGTGTCCTAAGGCATAATTATAGGGGGTGCACGGGTGTTCATTAGCCGATTCACGCGTAGCGTACGCACACGTCATAAAACGTCATTGACGTATGCGCGCACCGCTATTTTCCGTAGCAACGTGGCCCTGACAACCGCAACCCGTGGGCGTTTTGGCTACGTATAGCGTGCATAGAAAGCGTTCCAGAACGCTAAACGCAACGGTATCGGATAGCTGGTGCATGGGGCTACGCAACGGTATGCTATTTGTGGGCGGTTGACCCGCACGACCTTTTTCGTGGGCGCGGCAAGAGAACGCGTTCTCACTGGACTTCACGAGTGGTTTTGATGGTGTTTGAGGGTTATAAACCGCTCTGTGCAGGTTTTACAGCTATACAAGAAGGAATGCAAAAAATCTTGCAAGGTTTGTAAAAAAATATTTTTGAAGCGCTACAGCCTGTTGAACATGTATTATTATCATGCCATGCGTGTTTCCCCGTGTCTGTATGTATATATACGTAGGAGCGATTCTTGTGGCAGAAGCAGGGCAAAACTGCCTTGTAAGAAGCTCTTGCAAGCGCAGTGGCACCAGTATCACCTGCAAATGAAGGAAGGAAGGTCAGCAAGTTTTGTGAGGCTAGAGGGGGATCCACCATATTTCGGCGCCACAACTATAGCACCACACCACAGGGGGCAAGAAGATCCCCTTGCTTTTCTCATGAAGACATAGTGGCAAGTTTAATAATATTGCATGAGTGTTTTAGGAGGATGATTTCTCTTTCTTCTGTCGTTTCATGACAGGGGGCTCCAGTGCAACATTCTCTGGGCACACTTGTCGGAAGTGATCAGCAACCATGGCACGCAATCTCTCTACACCATTTGCCATGTTGCAGTAAGTGCGCTCGAGCTGGTTGAAACGGGCATGAATTCCCTCTGCACCCTGCTCTCCGAGCATTCCGAGACCCACTTTCCATTGCTGCAGGAAAGGCACAACATGATCTTCGATCGTGTGCAACTTCGGTGTGATGGACGCTCTCGGAAATTGTTCCCTGTAGAACTCAAGGAACCGGTCAATGTCAGCCTCTGCATGAATGTAGGTAAAATAATGTAAACCTGTCTAACTTACACAGTGTCACTACGTCATCTTTGTTGAGTAATCCCTGTCCATTGAATCGATTGTGACACTTGGAGTACAAGAGCAATGCCCTGCCAAATTTGTTGGCCACAGCTTGTGCAGCATCTTTCATCTGAGGGCACCTGTCGGAAGCAACCTTCGGGAGGCAGGCACATATAGTGTCTACATTAGGTGCCTGTGTATCAAAGCACGGTAATTGATGTTTTATTAATGTCATGTTATGTACCTGCAGGCATTTATGGGCGTGGTTGCCAATAAATGACCCTGGACATTTAGACATCCAGGAGTGTGGTCCAGTTCTCTCACAAAGGGGCCATCTTCAAAGGCAAAGCCATCCTTGCACTGTTGCTTGATGTTAGCAATTTTCTCGTCCTGTAACACATTATACGGAATCCTAACCACAAAAAGCAAGTATTACTCACAAGGCTCTCCAGCTTTTTAATTGCAGAATGAGCCTCCTCCTGCAGAGCCTGGACCATTGGGTTAGAGTGTGAGTCGGTCAGAAGTAGTGCAAGGCTGGTAATGCCATTTTTGAGACATTCGGTGTACCCAGCCTGCTCAGATCTCTCCTGTTCCAGTTGGGCCAGCTCATGTACCAATGCGGAGTAGTGCTGGTACTGTTTGCGGTCTGCTGGTGCTGGTGAAGTTTTCTGGGCCAATTCAAGGTCAAGCAGGTGACACTCTTCTTCCAGCAAACACCAAAGACGGTAAAAGATGGCCAGTGTTATATGTAGGCCGGGGGGGCAGACCTATATGTGTAACATGCACATTTACACCCGTCAGTTTTATATATACGTACCTGACTGATGGGGATATTAAAGAAAAATGGACCAATGACGTTGTTGTGTAATTTGGCCTGCTTCAGGTTCCCCTTGCCGACCGATTCGAACCTCAAACGGTCTGCTGTTAGAGATTCCAGGGTGCGTGCCTCGCATCTCCCCCTCTGGATTCTTGCCATTTTCATGCGCTCAGAGGTGATGGAGCACCACAAACATGGATGCCGTCCTTCCAAGTGAAGGTATCATCATCATACGAACCATACGTTGTGTAAGTGTATACATTGTGTTGTGATTATTACCTTGCCCAGTAGGCCATACATGTGGCACAAAAATTCATAATCTCCGAAGAGAAATATGCGAATGCTCTTTCCCCTGTGTTTATAATTGAATAACATTACATTCTCTATGCATCACTGCCATATCTTGCATACCTCCATGATTGCTTCTGCAAGGCATCAACTTGTGCATAGTAGCGATCTAACGCTATGTGCAGGTTGACTGGAGTGTCTTTTGCTTGAAAGACAGAAAAAACAACAGTGTTTTGCACAGAGTTGTGATTAGGGGTGTTACAAATCCGAAATGAGCTCTTCACAGATTTCCCCCCTTTGTCACCACCAATTTTGAGCCAAATTTCCCCCTCCGGAAATCACTCCTCCATGCCAGGTCAAACGGTTTGCACTGTGAAGTACGTTAGAAAATGACATAATTGTCTCTTGACTGCATGTATATATGTAACCTTTCGTTTTGATCCAGGAGTGTGAACACTTTCTCTCCCAGGTCAGGGATATAGACCATCGGAGCAGGAGAGAGATCTACGCCATCTTTGAGAGACAAAGAGAATGCCACCGCTTCAGCAGCCAAGTTAGTGCCACTTTGCTGGATAGACAGCTTCCGCATAGAGTGCTCACTTGCCAAGTCGACTCCTACCACTTTCAACCACCTACCCAGGATAGAACAATAATTATGTTCTTGCCTACACGTGTGGTTCCCTATAATAAAGTGTGTGTATTACCGTCTCATTATCTTCCATGGTATCATTAGATTCGCCTTCATTGCTAGTGCAGCATGGCAGGTTAGTTTTGCGGTGAAGTCAGAAGACGATAGAAGTGCTTGCCTCTCATCGACCCTCATCTCATCCTGATGCTGAACAGCAGGTGCACCTCCACTAATTTCAGCACGAACCTGAGCCAACTCATTGCTTCGACGGCGAACTGTGAAACGGCTGGCCTCATCGCTTGCAACACGAGGACTTGTGACCTTCATCACGCTTAGTGGCTTCAGGTATGTAACAAAAATAGTAAATTTAGCAACAGCCTTTGATTAGACATGCACCCCCCTTACAGAGCCAGCCGTGGGTAGCTGAACAACACTGGAAGAAGATGGGCCTGCCTTTGCCTCTGCGAACAACCTCTTCACTACCATTGCTGCTGCCTTCTTCTCGACAGTAGTGGGCGGTGAAGTTAGTGGGCGTGATAACACCTGCTCTAGAGTGAGCTTTGGAGCAGGGTATGTGACCATGCCTTTGCGGCACCCGGATTCAAGGTGTTCTCTCAATTTCCTTAGCTCGACTATTTCTGAACAGTCACACCTGTCACACTTCAGCAGCATTGACCCAAGAAGCTTGAGTGTTACCTCAGATACAGGTGGAAATTGAGAGGCGTCGACGATTTCGTGATGCGACTTGCAGCAAGGGCAGTGTAGAGAACGTTCTTTTGACTTTCGAATGCCATCACCCACACACCTCGCACAAGCTATCTTTCTGCATGGCATTACAACTGGACTGTCAGCAATGCAATCACAGAAAGAGCACTGCATATCTTCAAGAGATACACTAGGAGGAGGAAGGAATCGTGATGGTTGGTGTGGCTCTGGTGTGTTCCAACTAGGTGGAGCCTGACTTTCAACTGTGTCGGCAAGTGAGCGGTTGCTGCTTGTGCTAGTCCTACCACGATTCGTCTGTGTTCGCTTTGGCCGGCCTCCTCTTTTCTGACTCCGAAAGAAGTCGCAGGTTGAGCATTGAACACTATCTACAGTGGGATGTTCTGTCCACTCATGTACTTCTAGTGTGCTGTCTACCCATCCTTTCTTTTGTCGCTGTGCCTTGGCGTAGCATGTGTTGCAGAACGTGGGAGGATGGACAGCTGGATTTTCTTGCCCAACGTCAATGCCAAAGACTTTCAGCACATCAGGATTAGCAGAGCAGGAATACTTGTACTCATTTCGTGCAAATGGTTTGGCACATACTCTACAATGACGTTTGAGTTGATCCTCGTGAACCTTTGACGGTTGCTCAGCATGCTCAGCCATAATTATGCACTTTTAGTGACCCTTGGAACCTGGTTTTAAAAATTGTTAATAGATTCTAATGCACCTTACTGGTTAGAACAATTGTTAAGGAGTGTGAATAACCTTCAGCAAAGCTCCGGAAAACTTTCGGGCACTTGTGGGGATGCTTTACTCCACAGCGGTTTAGGCCAGCTGTCCGCGGGACCCGTTGCTAGGCAGTTTGTTAGGCATGCGCTTAATTTCCACCGCGTTTTAGGAAGTGCGCTTTAGCGCTAATAATGATGTTTTGAGTGTTAGCTATTTCCCCTTGAAGCCGTATGTCTGAATTCCACACAGTGTGTAAGCTAACACCATAGCAACCATAACGGTGGCGTAACCGCAAACGCGCTATCATTTCAGGGCTGTGTCGCGCGCATTGCGCGTTTGCGCAAAGATTAACCAAATGCACGCGCGGAACACCCGTGGGGGAAGTCCCAAAAGTCTATCAAGATTATGCCACAGGATATCCATTCCAAAAATCATTTCGTTCACCAACTCATGCGCCTTCTGTGGTTGCCTGGTCTCCACCTTTTCCTATTCTACGTCACCAGAAATCTCTAAGTGGAGATCCACAGCAATCTATCAGTGGAGAACCACAGCAGCCAGAAGAACAACAAGTCGTTGTTGGAAGGAACTTATAACCACACGTCATGACATGGAGACATTCAGCAACGACGACATTCAAAGCTTTAGGAGCTTAGATCTAGATGGTGCGAACAAAAAGAGAAGAACCATTGACCCTCCCCCATCATTCCCTAGACTTGAAGGCCAGGGTGAATTCCCTGCTGGAAATCCAGCCTTTCCCGTTGCTTCTTCACCACGTGGGAATCCATCCTCAGGAACTCCCTAGAATTTGGCACTTGGACCAAAGGCAGATATCCGGCACACCATGGGTAATGAGTTGTCAAATAAATATCCGCAAGGGGACCTCCCTGCTGATAAGGTTATAAACTACTTTTTGTCAAAGTATGAGGGTCTGGACTTGGGCAATGTGGGTTGGCTTGCTGTACTCCTTGCAAGGTACTCCTTCTTTGGCGATGATGTTCTCGTTGGTAGCGACAGTTAATAATCAATATCCTTTTTCTGTTATTTCGCCAAACGGTTTGTCCGAAAATCGAACAGATTTTCTAAAACCCAGATCAAAAAACATCCAAAGAACTGAATTTCTATATGGAACTCGAATTGGAACTCAATCTTTCTTTACATGTACGTATAGCCCTGGAATTGCAAATAAATTCACTTTTGGACTTGTAACTACATCCCCATTTTTTTTGTATATCGCTGAAATTCCAGATAAACTTCACCTTTGTTTAAACTACCTATCTTTGTGTACATCCCTGGATTCCAGATAAATTTAATTGCATCTCTGAAGTGAAACTCCACACCCTTTTGTCTGTCACGCATAATAATATTATGAATTGTACATACCCACACACCAATATAGCACGAACCTCATCTCACTCTTTGAATTTCCAATGACATTGTTTCTCGTCTAG